CAAAATTAAAAGAAATGTCCAGAGATTAGAAAAATGTCGTGGCGTGATTGGCCCAAAGGCAATTCCTGGCTGTCGTGAGTTTGGAAAGAGAGATAAAAGGTAATCAGTCAATGGATGCATGTAAAACTGAGTCGGAATGGAAGAAAAGAAAGAGAAACTGGTGGTAAATTGAGTTACCCATTTTTTTGTTCTTTTGAAGACTGGAAAACATTATTTTTATTCTCTCATGAAGAGAGTCTTGAAATTCATTTCATCCCCCGCCAGCAGGGGTTCATCAAAAGTTCTGCGAAACAACCGCTAGTTTTTGCCAGGAATATGAAACGTATTTGTTAATATTCTTCTCATCATTTTTCTCTCCGGAAAAATTGCACGACCCACTGCAAAATAAATTAATATCGAATAATTCAGATGTAACCAAAAATGAGAATCCTGTTTCTCGGTATGGTGACTTCAAAATTTTTGCAATTACTAATGGAATTTCTCTAAAAATGTCCTCTCTTATGCTTTCCGGAACATTCAGATTTCAAAGAAATGCGAATTTCATCAGTGCAGATGCCATTGCCGTCATCTCGTGTATACAGAAGATCATTAAGAAATAATGTGAAAATTATCAACAAATTAAAAATTCACCATGTTAGCTTATTCGAGCAAAATTGTTATGCATATGTTCATTTCTGTCTTTAATTATAATCGCTTAAAATCTCGCAAAAATGGTCCCGAAAAATCTTGCGAATTACTTCGCTATTTCAGTAATTATCCAAGTTCATGTGGCCAGACTGTAAAAATGTCTTGGATCTGAAATAAGTTGTTAAACTTTTCAACTGTTTCGAGTTTCGCATGACTTTTGAAAACTCCCTCCTAATCATGGTTCACCTTATATTTCTCCTCCATCCACGGATTTCTTTTTTTTTTTTTTTGCGCAAAAAGTCCGCTTCAAAAACATAAAACCTGCAACTCGTATACTGTATGTCACAAAACGAATCGATGATATTTGCATATCGTTGGGGAGGGGGGGGGGGGGGTGGCGAAATTCGAATTCATTTCCTCCTGTTTATTCGGAAATTTGTTTCTGTATTTGTTCTAATTCAATGTGAGCGATCGCCTGAGTTCGGTTGCAGAAAAATCAAGAACAGTTTGCATTTCTCCGGAAAAAATGTTTGGGCGTGGTTGTGCTTCGATGAGGGATGATGATGATGATGACGAGACGAGTTTGTGCTGAGAGATGGTGTGCAAAGAAAACCCCTTTGTGGTGTTTTTTCCTAGTATCGAATCTTCATTTCTTTCTTTTTTTTTAAATAGAACTCGAGAGAAAAAATGTCCAGATTTTCGTGTGATGACCTGCATTTTTTGAAAGATGTGTATACCATTCCGAATTTTTCAGGTAATTGTTGAACTTACTATTCCTGCACCATGCTAAAAACCACGTGAAAACCGCTGCTTAGATGGAAGGAAGACTCGGGAAAAAATTATATGCCAAAAAAAAACCGTGAAATGTGGTGGCAACAACTGGATTTACAGAGACCATGATTTTGTAACCAGAAAACAAAGTGGGTTGCGTGACTGAGTCTAATCTGACCACACCTCGTGACATAAGAGCTTCGACTATTGTTTCGCTCAATAATCTATTTAACAACGTTCTTTGCGGCTAATTTTTTTTTTTTTGCTTGTACGAACAGCTAATGAAGTCAAAAAAGTCAGCTGTGTGAAAATGATGATAAAATCGTGATGGAAAAATTGATATCACGTATCACAACAAACCAGGGAGTCGAATTGTAATTTTCCGCGTCGAAAAATTTAGCTTGCGCACCATGTTTTTGTTTAAATATCCTGTTGGTTTTTTGAATATTGAGCATTTTTTTGAAGTCATGATTAAGACTATCATGCAGGAAACAAATGTGCCAGAGTCCATCACCGTTTTCACGCGAACCTTCAGTAACATTTTGAGTCTTTTAGAATCTGTGATCAAGATCTCATTTAAAAATTTGTGAAAACGCCGATTACGGTGTATTGTAAATGTATTTACCATGCTTTATTAACCCTCATTTGACTGATTTCGTGAATGAATTAGCTGATTGCAAAGTTTAATTCCAAATTAAGTGCATATAGTCTTTTACGTCCGGATATGCTGGAGAATTATTGTTTCGTATAGTGGTAAAGCACATTTATAAAAGAACCGAAAAACTACTCCGATTTGGAGCATCATTTTCTCTCACTCACGAGGTTTTAGTTTTTATGGGAGTCTGGTTCAAATAAAGCTACTGTATACTGTACACTTGTACAGCATACAGCAATACTACTGTACATCAACAATACAGTCTGCTTACTCCGTTCAGTATTGGGCAAATTTGGAATTGAGGGTTGAATTTTCAACAATTTCTTCAGGTTTTCTGCCATATTTCCTTCACGGGGGATTTATGCACAGCTGACACCTCATCCGGAAGGAATAAATGATCAATGATTGAACTCTATTGTTCGTACAATAAAATGCATTTGGAAAAAAATATTTCAGACTAATCAAGTGCATAACTCTAACTTTATTATGCAGAACAGATTTAACCCATGAACCTAATATCTTGATGTACATTCCAACCGTGATATTACGAACAGTTTACTTTTCGACCTGACACCTACTGATTACACCTGAAAATATTTTTGAACTATCGTGTTCTGGTCTTAGGTGTCGCATGCAACAAGGCCCGAAAATGGGACGAACGAACTTCATACGATGAGTGGTTATAGGCAAAATATTTTATGCTAGAATCAATATGGGAAAACATATCTTGAAAATTTACTATTCTGAAGGTAAAAATCAATGTTTGAAACATTCTCAACCCTTCATAGATTATATTATGTTGATTAGAAGAAATCATGTCCTAAATGCAGACAAATGCAATATTTTTCAGTGCACGGTGCATTTCAAAATAATACGAACTTCTATTCAAACAATTTTATATAAGTCCCATGGTAAGTCTGAACCATCGACGCCAAGAGGAAACGTTACCGGCGATCTGACAATAAACGCACTCGAAGAGCAGCGACACCTAGAAACAGTATTAACAAACATTATCGTTCATAAAATGTTCACGCAACAGGTTCCGCTTTAAATCGGATTAGTTGATCCAGAAATTCCGAAAGCATCTTGCCCAGCTCATGCATGATTACATTTTACACGGAAACGAATGGATGAATAATGAAAACATATTCTGTACAGAAGTCATACAATAAATATTATCCAACCATTATCAAATACGACGTCGTAATAAACCTTTGTGTCTTTCCCCATTGATTCAAAGCTAAAATTCGTTCTCTGTTATTGAAGCACTCAAAACAAATTCAAAATTTTTGGCATTAACTTGAGTGTCCTGTTCTCAAAAGAATTTGTAAATTTGCTGGAAGATCAGCAGTTTCCGGTCCAACCATAGAGAAGCCGAGAGATAAGGGCGCAGAAACAAATGACCAAAACATCTGGAGGCAATAAAATCATCGAAAAACAACCCCACACAAACACTTGGTGAAATGACCCCTGTTCACTGAGGTGAAGAAGCAAATTGCCCAACTGTTGGGCGCAGCCAGATTTTTACAACCACCCAGCTGGGTTCAATATACTGTACTGTATGCCGGAACCCGCCCCAACTGAAAACCAATCCCCACAGAGGATATGGCGCAGGAACCTCCTAACCTTTTTTTTTTTTTATCTTTGAACTCAGAGTCCCACTTGTGGAAGAGACAAGATTTTTTCAAATCCGCGAAGCAATAAAAGAGCTTGGAATTGTTTCTAGAGGAAATTGGAATTCCACCGGAAGTGCCCTGAAAATTGGGGGAATATTTTGAAAATGTAAAAAATTCCACGATCGAGAACCTCAGTCTGTTCGTACATTTGATCAAAGTCTTTTGAGGTACTGTAGAAGTCCTTTTCCGAAATTTTGGAAAACCCATCAGAAAAACCGAAATTGTGAAATTTGGCATTTTGTATTTGTATTGTGAATACTTTTTAAAGTTTTTTGTTAACTATAAAAGTCTTTCCTAGGAAATGTAGACGACCAACGTGTGGATAACGAGCAAAAAAGTTTAAGGAAAATGTACTTCGTACGCCTTATTTTACTTGTATAAAACACAGTTCTTTAATAACAATCAAGTTTTATTCATATAATTTCAGAACATCCAAGAATAAAGAGTCCAGAAAGCACAAAAAGGAAAGTCTTCCAGAAAGACTTGGTCCGTCATTTGAACGGAACATCAGTGACAAATATTGATTCAGGTTGACAATCAATTGTACCATCGGGTCCAGTTCGACGAAATTATTCGCTTTTCGAGACATGGACCGTCACATAATCAACTCTGAACTCAGCACTGTCAACGTATTCCAATCAATCGATCGAATCAAATCATTGGGGAGGATTTTCATTTCAAATCATTCCACTAGGAATAGTGTTAACTCTCGATCTCCCTTCAGACTTTAGATCTTGTTGATGAGTTCTTCGATGTCGTCGGCGATATCTTTGCTTTCGAATTCCTTCGAATATCTGCGAAAGGAAACAAAAGTCTATATAGCTCTGAATGTGGAAAAGACAAGTATTCATCTAATAAAGCACGTATATATTCCCCAAGTATTGTAATGTACAGTATTCTATTTTAAAGAAACTAAAATAGAATATTCCTTATCAACAATGTGCGGTTTAAACGGATAGTGTCTTTCAAACTAACATCACCATAATGACGAATGACACGATTTATGAAATTTTACAATTGCAGCGATCTGAAGTTCAAACACATTCTACACTTGAAAGCATGGACATTTTCGGAAAATAGCATACATTTTCGTACGAATGTAATGCGAGAAGGGAATACTTTACAGGAAAAACGACCAAACATAGGAATTGAAAAGCAATTATTTATTGATAATGCATTTACCACAAAAAAGTCGTTGATATATACGCTAGTAACGCTACAATACTCTTATAATCTTAGAAAGCAAGATCAGGCCACTAAAATTATGTGGTTGTCGTCTGAGCTAGAATCGATTCTGAAAAGAATGTGTCCCCGGAAATATTACTGGTCCAAGATGCGGAATTTTTTACAATAAAAACAACATGCTCTCCATTGGCTCTCCCATGAATTTCTCCTAGCTGACTCAACAATTTGCTTAGTTTTCAATCAATCACGCTACATTGGCGAAATTTCCACACCAGCAAGAAGGAATACGCAATATTTTTACAACCCTTTTGCCATTGTTTCAAGTCCTCACCTTTTGATCGGACGGCCTTCATGATCAACGAGAAATTTCTCGAAATTCCAGGAAATGTCGGTACGAGACACCGGAGACCAAACAATGAATTGCGGATTGGACATTAACGAGTACGAGTCATCGCTTGGAGTTGGCAAAGATCGGCGCAAGAACTGTGAAGAAAAATTCCACGTGATTAAAAATAAAATAAAAATTGTCCCAAGTGACAAACAGCTATATGCGCAAAAATGTTAAAAATAAAAGAAACAGTTCTCACGTCAAATAACGGATGACAGTTGGCTCCGTTCACTTCAATCTTGGCAAACATGTCGAAGTTCGGCTCGTATCCGTTCCCAGGACGAACGTATTTCAAGGAATTGAGAATTTCTTCGTTCCTAGTGTTCTCCTGCAAAAAATATTTTCGAAATAAAAATGCAGTATCTCAAGTAAAAGGTTCGAAGCTCGTGTTTTCTTCTGGTCGTATCTTTTGTCACGAAATCGCATAGTGTATATGTAAACTTATGGAGGGGTGCAGCTTAAAAGTAGTGCAGGTAGAAACCTAAAGGAAGGAAAAAAATGCATCAAAAACCTCCTTATAATGAAACGGCTTCCCCTCTCCAATTTCCATAAACTAAATTTTTTGGGGGGCCTTTTGGTAAAAATAAGAAGGATTATGGTCCTTCAACTCCAAACAAGCCCGAAGTCGAATTATTGCTCTGTTCCCTTGAAATTCGACTTGAAAAGGTTCTACTGCATTACATAAAGCACACACACTGCGCAAAAAATGCATTAAGAGAAGTTCAACTTTTGCCTTTAATATCAGCAATATTTTTTCGTGAGAGTGAGCTCCAAATTTTCGTTCCGAAGCAAAATGAAGTTTGATTTCGCTCGAATCGCGATGGATCAACAACTTTTTTCGTCTTGTGATAGTCTCCATCGCTTGTAAAAATAATATTATCGCTGATTTAAATGAGATCCTTGGTAAGGACCTGGAATTTGTGCAAACTGAAGTTTGATTTCGATCGAATCGCGATGGATCAACAACTTTTTGGTCTCTGATAGTCTCCATCGCTCGTAAAAATAACATTATCGTTGATTTAAATGAGATCATTGGCTTGGACCTGCTGGAATTTGTGCCATGTTGTGCAGTTCATTTAAAAAAAAACTTAATTTGAAAATAACGTACCTGCTTCCCAAACTGGTTGCTTGGGAACCCGAGGACGGCGAATTTGTCACGCGGGAACCTCTCGACCAACTCGTTGAGTTGGGTGAAGTCCCGCGTGGTCGTGCCTCAGAGACTAGCTGTGTTCACGATCAGAACTGCCTTTCCAGCATAGTTATCCAGCTTGACAGCGTCTCCTGTAATACGGTAAAAATCACAAACACAAAATTATAGAATGATGTTAGATTTAAAGAAAAAGTTGCGTAATCATATTTATCAAAAGAAATGACGAATCAGCAGCTTCCGACTACCAGCATCACGTACCTGACAGCAAATCTGCTGTGAATTCGTGGATAGAGTTCATTTTTGAATTGCACACGAACCGATTCACAGCTCCTCCTGAAGGTCAAAGAGCGAGAGAATTTGAACAACGAATTTTATGACAAAGCAAACGCTAATTCATTCGATTATTCAGAATATTTCCTTATATCGAGAACCCCTCGAATTTCTGTCGATAACACGAGAAATTCAAATTAACCCTTTTTCTGAAATGCCGCAAATACGTAAATATCGTAAATTCGCGTCTTATAATGTCAAACGGTTGGGTTTAAATTTATTATTTTGAAATGCTGTCGTTATGCTTCCATGTATTCTAACTTACGTTAATACCCGAGGCAAATTCAGTTGAATAGAAATGGATTCACCGAGTTTAAATTTTACTCAACTTTTAGCCATAAGTGAGAAAATTACCTTCTTCGAACACAATACGTACTCGTCCAGCCATTTACTTGTCGTTACGAATGCTGTGTTTTAAATTATTCAAGATCCCTATAATGCTTAATAATCATCTGACCTTATTCCAGACTTTAGACTTAAGTATGCGGCATAACATTTTGAAAAGGTCAGAGTTCAAGATAAACCGATATCCGTCGCAAGCAAGCAATTTTCACAATCACACACTGACACTAGTAATATAATCTTCTTGAAAAATCTTTTGCATACTTCAAACAAAACAATATGCAGTAATTTTCAATCGACCCGCATTCCGTCATGAAACTCCAACATCACTTCCAATTTTCTAAAATAACCATTGCGTAGATGGTTATGGTTATCACATGCGGAGATTTTTTTTAAAGCTATACTGCGCTGCGAAGTTCGCTGATGGATAAAATGAACTGATGCAAGACGGTCATCGCAGACGACTCCCTTTCAACATAACCCGAACCACGCAGAGAATTCTGTCATTCAATTGCCACACCAAACAGCTTTTTTTTTTTTAATAAATTCTACAGAATGGAGTAGGAAACACAGGCACAGATTTTCTTAAAGCAACCGCGAAGCTCGCTGGTGATGAACTGACCCGAGCCAGACAAGTCATCGCACACTGCTTTCAACACAACCCAACCCATATATGAGAGAGTATCCCTTGAGCTCTCAGCAGAAAGAAAGGTTCTCTGGTGCGAACTGCTCTGAACCCAGATTACGCAACGACCTCGCTTCACTATAAGAAGCGGGGATTAGAGACTCACTTTCTTCCTTCGACTCTCCTTGCTCGTACGTATGCATACTGTTTACAGTACAGCATATCTTTCTTTTGTTTTGCCTTATACTGCAGTGTGCTGATAAGGAGTTAAGGACTGATAAGCAATCCCGCCGGCCCCATGATTTTCGGGTAGGGCGCCTTTTGGGACGAAATGAACTGTTGTACGCAGTGTGGAATTGTTTAACTGATTCCAGGAAAAAACGAATCGACCTTCGATTCCGTCACATTGACGGCGAAGTAAAGGAATAAAAAAAAAATGGGAATAGAAAATCGCTTTTTCGGGAAAGTCTTCAATGCCGTTCGCTCTTTTCGTGGGGAGTTGAGGAAGTTTATCTCATATTCTCATCAGGAGATAGCTGCAACATCCCTTTTCTTCAAGGTTGTCGAAATTTTAATCTAGAGTAAGCGGGCCTAAAAATTAAATTCAAATCAATTCTATAACAAAGAGCAAGTGAATTTGTCCCACAGGTACCATCAAACTCATCCCCGACCGGATATATACGACATTCAGCCTCCGGCAAATTTTATCTGGAGAATTTTCAATTCACGAACTCCAGCACGTCACTTTCTTCAAGATTGGCGGAATTTTAATTCATAGCAAGTGGACCTGAAAATAAAATCGATTCTCTGAAAAAGTCACTTTCTAGATTTGCGCAATTTTGATTCATAGCAACTGGACATAAAAAAATAAAATAAAAGCGATTCTCTGAAGAGTCCCTTTCTTCAAGATTGGCGGAATTTTAATTCATAGCGAGTGGTCCTAAAAATCAAATAAAATCTATTCTGTGAGAAAATTGGACGAATTCGTCCCACAGGAAAAAAAAAAAAAAAAACGTATCACCGGAAATCGATTATTGAGCCAACGGAATAAAAAAAAAAAATTCCCGTGTAGAATTTAAATTCACGAATGAAAGCTTCCAAGCATTGTAATTTAGTCGAGCCAGAGGAAATGTCTCCTATGCATTTTTCTTTCAAGGCTATGTAATTCACGCCTGCGGTGCTCGCCGAAGAACGACTGACTCATTCACTGCGGAAATCCTTATTTTATGGCTGCTATATGAAGATATCAAATTCACAACCTGTTCCCGATGAGTGCGTCAGACGCAATCAAAGTTTCATGCCATGTGCACTGCATCTATTACTTATGATGATGAGGAAGAAAGAATATCGATTTTACCAGAGTAAATTAATAAGCGTTTGAACGAGTACTGGCTCTCAGTACCCGGGGAAAATCCGCATGAGTAATATATTCAGTCAGCAAGTGAGTAGTGTTCACTTCCGTTGACCTTGTTGTTCGATGTACAGTAAATCCATTCCTTTTTTCTTTTAAATAATATCTTAAGATAGGAAATTAAAGTCTTCATATATGTTCGGACGCATATTCTGTATAAATTGCGTGGGTGTCAATCTTCCTCAATAAGACGAAAATTTTCAGAACACACAAAAGGTTTCCGGTCCGTGATTCATTATCGGAAAGGACTCAGTAAATATTTTCATGAGGACCAGAACTTGAGTAATTATTATATGAATATGACACTTTTTAACACAATAACGTCGACACGAACTTCGCGGAATCGATCACATTTCTCGGAATTTCCGAATAAAAAATTGAAAAATCCGCACCGCAGGATGTTTCAATTTTCTTCTTCGTATTTGAAATATGTCCACTTCTGAACCTTCAATGCAATAACTGAAAAAAAAATTGACGGTTAAAAGTCAGACATATTAATTGGCGTTGAGCTTTTTTCTATTTATTTGAAGTTATTTACATAATCTTACGTAATATGTATATAGGTGAAACATTACGTTCAGCATTACGTAATATAGGTGGAAATTGATGCGTTCTTCGTCAAAATTGAAGTCAGATGCGCACCGAGGCGTTCTTAGAATATTGCGACACTTCAAAACACGATACAGTACAATTCAGAGAAATGATTCAATTACACTAGCGTATATCCTGCTGAAGTTTTGCGCGAAAGCCTGCACAAAAACTTCATAAAAATCGAACTGCGCGCAAAAAGCAGAAACATCCCTGCTGAAATTCAAAGGCGCTTCAATGTTCAGAATAATTTGAGTAAACACAGTTTTTTTCTCACCTGAAAGAAGATCAGCAAAGAAGGAGTGCACATTTTCCCTCATTTCCTGCAAATCAGTAGGATTCGCCGCATCTCCATTCGCAATTTCCAATGTTTCACTTTTATTCTCAACCGGTGCTTCCGCTGTGTCTTGTGACACCACACATCCCATGTTTTCAACCACAGTGTTTTATCAGAAAACTTCCAATATTCACAAAAAATCAAGTAATTTATCTAAAAGCCTATTTTCTATTTTTTTGTTTCTTGCGAAGAATAAATTCTGACGTCGTTCACTTTTCTCGAAATCGACGTCAGTCGACAGAGTCGCAGTCGACAATAGCGCGCAATATGGAATGGCTGGCACAAACGTAAAGGTGCTGAAGCAGTGTTGTTAAATCGATATTTTTTGGCGGAAAATAGAGGAAACTGGACTTCTTCTCATGCAAAAGAAGCCTGGCCACCTCCGCAATTTTTTTTCGGACGTACAATTTTTGTTGCTCAATTCGACTTTTTAAAATTAAAAATCAATAGATCCATAATGGTTATTGCGCAGAATAGCGTCATGCATTTTTGTGTGTCGCTATAATGACCTTTTCCGTGGTTTGCCACAATATGGTTCGGAATTCTTTTTGAATAATTCACGATAAATGGAGGAATTTAGACCCGACATCACTGCGATTCTGGGTGAGGGATTCATTTATTGATGAATGGTTGACGTCCCATTGGGTTATATGAACTTACCTGCGGCAATGTGCTGGTTATTCTCGCATGGGTTCTAGTATTTTTCTGGTGGGTCGGGGGTTACGTTGCTAGGACGACAGAAATGAGGGCAAGACTTGGAATCCCTCCCAACTAAAAAGATCAATCTTTCATTTCTGGATTTCCTGGTCTTTTATTCTGAATATTCAACAAGCTCAAGAAGACAAGAACTGCCTCGAGATTTAAGTCCGTTTGAAATTACTGTACTGTACTTTGCTGGTCTTTTCTGCTTTAACTTTGTGCGAAATACTTCATAGACACATTAAAAAATTTATATTTATATATGTTAAACATTATATAAAAAATAATATATATTTATTGTTGTCGTAAATTAGTTTATTTTAGATCTTTTACAATCTTTAAATTCTGGACGTCTCTGGATTCTCCAATTGTACAACTTACCGTCGCAAGTTATATTCTTAACTAATTTAGACAATTCCTTGAGAGGAGATTTCTTGATCCTTGTTACCGGGCAAAGTAAATTCAACTCCTCTTTTATCAAAATGGGTAAGTGAGCTTTATTTCGTGTTCAACAGTATAGATACTCTACGCAACAAACTTCGGACAGCAATGAGCACGCGAACAACAGAGAACAGGCGGCTATATAGATTCGGTCAAGTGAAGTTGGGCAAGAATGGTCAGACCCGGATCTGACCTCNGTAGAGTACAGTTCAGTTCCTTTCACAGAACCAATCGGTCGGTTTTGCAATTTTTCTGGTGACTTCAATTTTGACAGGGACTTTTCATGTCCTATTGAGAATTTTCAAAATATTGAATTTTACATTCCCTTATCCTTTTCAGACAACATTTCCAAACAAATTCGCGTTTTAGTCTGCTCTTACTAATATTTTCGCGAAAAGTAAATAAAAATAAAAGTTCACCAATCAGCGCATCAAGTCAATCAACAATGTTCCGTTTCGCGAGATTTTTGCTTTCGGCCTACGCAGTTTTCGCATTTGATGATAATTGCGTAAACGTGGGCCAGAAGTATTACTGCGAAGATGTCTGTGAGGCACGGCATTCTTCGTATTACAACGATGAGGTTATGTTTGTTGGTCGTGTTTTGGACTTGAAATGTGTCGCCATTCGTCATCTTAAGGTTGGTTGTTTTTCTTCTGAAAAGTAGGAACAGTAACTGTCAG